TGTCGGTGTAAAACTAATTTTTATTAACGCACCAACATTTGGTGTCTGTGTAAATTTTTGTTAATGCACCAACACTTGTGTCGGTGTAAATCATCAAAATATTTGTGCATAACTGCGGTGTATAAATGGGGTACAAATTTTGGTGTAAATGTAGCATGGTTCTTTTAAAATTCACAAGTATTCTGGTCCAATAAAAACAATTCCCCCAATGCCCATGTCTCATTCTAACCTCGCCCAACCCAAAATATTTCATACTAACCTAATTCCTCACTACTTACTCCGCACATTCTCACGTTTCTCCCACTCTCATCCGCCGCTGTGTTCCCCTACCTTATCTTCCTCTCTCACTTCTTTATATTATTTAACCGGATTTTAATCTCTTTCTGCCTAAGAAGTCGAAGGATCAAGTCCGCATGTCCTACTTTTGGATTGTTCTTCTTTGTATGTATTTCTTCCTTGTTCTGTTTTGAATTTTTTTTGTTTTTTCTGGAATTTGTTTTTGTTTTTCTGACGCAGATTTGATATACTATATCATGTTTTTTATTTTCGGAAACATATAATGGAATTGATTCAACATAAATACTTTAAAATCTTCAATTTTTTTTTAAGATTTTCGATGACTTTGAAGTTCACACATTTTTTCTACGATTTTGAGTAGATCTATATGAGATGATGTTATTTTGTTTACTTTGAATCATGATTCATTAGTTTACAGATCCATGCACCGAAATATTATTTCGTATTTTTTTTATTTTTGTTACTCAGATTTGAAATCCTATCTCATATCTTTTTTCGAAAAATATAATGGAATTGATATGTCATACATACTTAAAAATCTTCAATTTTTCATGGAGATTTTCGATAACTTTGAATTTCATACATTTCTTCTACGATTTTGCGTAGATATGTATGAGATGAAGTTAATTCGTGCACTTTGAATCATGATTCATTAGTTTACAGACCCATTTACCATAATATTTTTTCGTTTAAATACGAATACATGAAAAATATTTTAATTTTTAATTTTAAACTAATACAGATCCCTGATATTTTAATTTTAATAATTTTTCCTTGTAAAAGGACTACAGATCTCTGATATTTTAAATTTTATATACTCTCCCTCAAATTGCATTCATAGTCCCTACTTCTATATCTGAATAACATCATTCAGGAAACATAAACTGCTTCATGTGATCTAATTTTTCAATTATTATCATTTCATTAATTTTTTTACGGCTACAGAACCTACATTTATACTTGAAACCCGGTATGTTATATGGTTTTTGTTGTTCTTTGTAACTCATATTTTTTAATCTGAATTGTTCACATTGTGACAATCTACCCAAGAATAATACTTTTAATTTTGTTTACAGGGGCATTTTTATTGAAATAATGTAAAGTTAAAATGTAAGTAATTTCATATGAGCTGCATATACTCCGTATTTTTTTAAAACATAACTTGTTAGATACTAATTACTGAATACATAAACCTCTAAATGCTTTTACTTTTTATTTCAGGTTTGATCCTTTTTAAAGTACTCCTCGTGATGAAAGTGAGTGTAATTATAAACTCTTATTTTAAATTAATTTGAAGAAATTCTGAAAGCTTAACTTGAGAATTAACAATTACTCTTTCATGTTTCCCAGATTTATCCCAAGCAATAATGTTAAGGAAGGCAAGTAAGTTGTTATATTGTTTCTATCAGTAAGCTAAATCCAAAGCTATTCATGTCTTGAATGACAACCCCTCTGTGCTTATTCAATCTTAATCTTTTCAATATATATACCTAAATAAGTATGCTTAATAACAGAACGCATGAATATAGGGAACTTTTTAAAAATGTTTACTAAACGAAAGACATAAATTATTATACATTGTGTGAATTGAAGCTTGTGTACCTGTGTTTGTATGGATTCTCTTTCTTTTCCCCCCATCTCTAGCACTGGACAAAGAAGTCTTCATTTTTAGCTCAGTGTTAGGTGTATGGCTCTCTAGATTTTAACACTGAAGTAATACAACACCACTGCTACGTTATATCTTATATATATATATATATATATATATATATATATATATATATATATACTTATACATATACGTATATATATATGTGTGTGTGTGTGTGTGTGTGTGTGTATGTATGTATGTATGTATATACATAGGAATATACAGTAAGGGTGTCCACGATTGGTTTTAGTTTATGCATGCCTGGAATTTTTGTCCAGGGGTTATTCACTATTGAGAAATACCATTTACTAAGTCCAAAAAATTGTCTTCTCATGTATACCCACTAAGCTGATACATTGAATGTTTTCAAATTTCATGAAACTACTTTTGATGTTTTAAAATGGGTGTTCAGTAAATTTTTTAAATATTACACCAAGTAATTTTTCTTAAAACATTTTTTTGGTTATAAATTTTCTTTAACCACTCTTTCTAAAGTCAGTAGAGTTCATTACTTTAAACTTAAAAAAGAAATTTTAATAAGTTTAAATAAATACAATCTTCAAATTCCTTTGAACTTAATCAATATTTGCATGCATTGCGTTAACTTGTCACATGTTTT